GTTGAGTTCTACAACAGAAATAAAACATATCAGCACTATTTCGTACATGTACAATATGCGCCATCTACAAACATATGTACATAGCACATACCATAATACTGCTGGGATAATGATAAGATCACTGAAGATTACATACAGCTGAAAGAGGAGTATATAACTTTGTGATCAAGATGACAGAGTAATTTAGTATTATCAACCGAGTTGAAAACATAAATTGGCCACTGTAAAGAGTTTCAAAGCTAACATATCAAGTGTTAGCCCTTCATCAGTGCAAACAACAAATGGCTAACACTCAAATCATCAGCTTTGAAACTCTTTACTGTGGCCAATGTACATTATCAACTTAGCTAGTAATACTTAATTACCTTGTTAAACTCTCCCACAGACATAGCACCACAGTTTCTTTATAAACTCACCCCTGCTTCAGATCTAGATGGTTTGCTCTTAAATGAATGTCACAGTAGAATCAACAGTGAATAAAATACCTTGCTTAGTTTGTCTTCTGAAGTTGGAACATTTTCATCAGGAAAGAGATTGACAATTTCTATAAACCAAAGGATATAAATATATGTAAAGTAACAGAACTTCACACATAATTGGTCAAGACAAGAACTACCTTCAGAAAACCTATGTATAAATCAGTAGCTGGTGACAGAAGAAGAATCAAATAAAAATGCAAAAAGGGCAGAGGGTTCCTGCCAAGAGAATGATATGAAATGAATTATTTCTGTAGGACACGTTATACTGAAAGTCTGAAAAGCTTTTATAATAAAAATAACAGTTCTTAGGATGCATTTCACAACTCCTAATACATTGACAAAAAAAAATTAAGAAATATTTAATTCAAAAAAATTAGGAAAAAATACTTACTAGTAAATGCACATAAACACAATGTTTAAGAACCCAACAGGCAGGAGGCAGACCAGTTGGTTATATACAATGAGTGCAAAGGAGTTGAACCCAAGGCAACTGGAAACAAATCCACTGAATAGCAGAGTGGAGGGCTTGAACCTTAGACCATCAGATTACAAGACCAGCTCCCTAACCCCTCAACCACACTGCCTCCTTCTGACAGGGTAAGTTAATATTATCTACTGAGTTGATAATGAAATTGGCCACCATAAAGAGTTTTAAAGCTGACATTTCAAGTGTTAGCCCTTCCTCCATTTGCTCTGATGAGGGGCTAATCCTTGAAACATCAGGTTTAAAACTCTTTACTATAGCCAATTTACGTTATCAATTCCGTTCATAGTACTAAATTACCCTGTTATACTCTCCCACTGATGCAGCACCACAGTTTCCTCAGAAACCTTCCCCACTTTATTCATTTGCCTCCCTCTAAGTCCCATATCTCACTCCCTATTTTAAGGAACTCTATCATTACTACTACTCTTGAAACCACATTTAGTTAAGTTACCTCAAGTTCTGGATGGAACAAAAAGGAACATTGTTTGAAAACTGTGCTTACAGTTGAAAAATACTAATTTCACAATCCAAAAACTAAAACACTTGACTGACCTCCTTAAAAATTACATCCTAATTGTTATCTTATGTTAATGACTTCTATACACTGTTTCAAACAAAAGTGTTTGAAAGCCCTAATTAATACTGCAACAATAGTACCTGCATAACTTGCTGCACAAGTGGAGACAACCCATCCCATATAAATCTGAGACCCAGTTACTAATAGGTAATAACATGATTCTGGGGGCAATTATTTGTTAATAAGCATGGGTAAATTTTTGAAAGACAACAACATTGCACAAGCCTGTAGAACGAGTGCAATTTGTAGTCTGAAAAATTTAAATGTGTTTTTTACACAAAAGTGCATGAGAAATGATTTTATGTTATTAATAATTTACATAAAAATAGCATCACAGAAAGTCAAAAAATACGATTTGACAACATGCATGCTATTTGTAATTTGCACTCATGTCACAACTTTGCTTTTTGTGTTAATGAAAATGCATTGGTTTTCAGCCAACCAGAAGCACATAATTTTTTCATGTTTATTATTATCATGGTAAGATGAATCAAGATAATGAAAGGCTCCTCTCTTTTTTTTTTTCCTACATACCTGGATAGTTAAATGAAGATTTTAGATTCAAATTCTCCCGTGTATTATTACTGTCCACCAAATCTCCACCTTCATTCTCATCATCATCATCACTGCCCTCGTCCATGTTGTCATCATCATCACTGTCCTCTTCATTGTCACTGGAGATTTCAATCACAGAGTTGTCTGACTGATCCTTGTCTTTTTCAGTAACTGATTCTGTAACTACCCCATCTGTCCTCTTTGATGTTCTCTTATCTGAAACATCCAACAGCAAACTTTAATAAAGTTTCAATGACATAGACAATTAAAGATAAAATCCATTGTATCGTAATAGTTCAGTACAGTCTGACTGCAAACAATCTGGAAGTTTCCATCCACTGAGGTATATAACAGCTTAAGATCAATTGATACATTGCAAAAAATAAACAATTACCCACAGTTAGGGTACATCAGTGACACATTTGCATGAACCTTGTATGCCACTTTTTTGTTCATGCCATATTTTGGCGTCATCTGTGATCTATTACCAAACAGATGCAAGGCAACATGAAATCTATTAGTAGATAAGAATCTACTAACCCTTTACACCCTAACATCACGATGTGTATTCTCCATACTGTTTTCTGTACATTTCCTAAGAGGCTAACAAGGAGAATTTATTCAACAATCAAGAGTTTCTATAATTGGAAATAATTTCCTTTACTCTTGTGACCTTAATGTTTGATTCAGGAGTGATATGCTAAGGAGGAATTAGATGCCGCTCACTCTTTAAGGGTTAAAGGGCTACTGGAATCTACTTTCCCTATTATAGGATGGTAGCTCACAATGTTGTGATCTGGCCTTGATTCTGAAATTGTGGGCATCTACAAAATTTCCTTCAAAAATTGTGAAGTGCTCAATGTAGTCTAGTCAAAATCTCCCATTAAGTGTTGTAAAGTGCAATTAGCCAATGGATATGCCACCATAGAAATCCTTTACTATCATTATTATTTATTAAACAGATATCAATTTGAGAAGTTCATACCTGGAGTGGACTTCTCTGATACCAATAGAGAAGAAGCGTAATGCACATGGCTATAGATTGTCTCTTCTATTTCACTGTCTGCATCATCTTCACTTCTACAAAAGTGTAACAAAGCATTATGTCAAATTCATTTACATTCTATTAGACTGGATTTTGCTAAAATATCAGACTCATTAAAACTCAATATTTTCTTTCACAAGTAGTCTTAATCCTTTCATTTGCAAGCCTTATAAGTAATTCTCCTTACTGTCTGTCATACAATTCTTATATGATCTTTGTTTGGAGAATTTGGTATTGGATCAATCAATCATCCTCTAATTGATATCTTTCTGCTTGATATTGTACTGATATTGTGAGAAGGAGAAATTATGTCTTCATCACTCAGGGAAGTTGAAGGGTTATAAGCAACACTAACCCAGAGGAAGAATTCTCCCCATACAGCTGATCCTCGTATGCTTTGTAAGCATCACTGTCAAACTCATCATCACTGCTCATACCTTAAAGAAAAATTTGTTATAGCAACTCTAATGAAATGTTAATTCATCAAGAATAAGGATATGTCTGAGGGGGGAAGAGGGAGTTTCTCACATGTAAACAGTCTTACTGGGGTGCATGTAAGTTCCATAACTTTTTTTAAAAAAAAAAAAATTTTCAATAGTGCTGATATTTCTATTGCTATATTTATCATCATAACACATTGTAACTCACAATAAAGTTTTGGTCTATGCCTAACTCAGTGTTAAACTACCTGCACATTCTAGCCTTGCTGACTTATGCCATAAGGCTCTAGTTTCAGCAATCAAACAACACTGTCTTTTTTTTTTAATACTCTGAAAAATTTTATTATTTGCTAAGATCTCATGATCCAGTTTTAAATGTGAATGACTGTATTTATGGCTTTGTAATGTTGAATAAGGTTGTCACTGAGTGATTAAATTAATTCATTAATTATTGGGTGAATCACTGCCAAGTTATCAATGTTTCAATATTTAAATATGCATTATACAACAGTTTTGGATTGAACAAGGAAATTAAATGCATACATCACCCCTTCTAGTCTACTGGGAGTCTTATCATACCGACGTTGAGCATTTGTTTATAGTTTGATGATAAATGCACTCTTACACGCTTTCATTTGTGGAAAGACGATCTTCAATAACTGGCGTGAAATCTCACAGGTTTAAGTTGAGATCATGGACATATTTCACGTGACAGAAACTATTTTGTAAATATTTAGATAGGATGGAGTGATAATGGAATGACTGTTCGATTGGCACTATGTAAACACCCAACAAACTGTAATCACTTTTTGTAACATTACGAAGAAAGAGCAAGGAACATTAGCTTATAAAAAACAAACTATTCGTATAGTGCAATAATATGGAAACGAATTGTGTATCTTGACCGGAAAGTTAAATTTAATAGCTGCACAAAAAGCACTATTTCGGACGTGAGGTCTGATTTACCCCATTTCCCACTTCCGGAATAATTTCTAATTCTTTAGGAGAGTTAGAAAATAACTGATCATCAAAATAGAAGAGACACAGTTTGGATTTCACTTACCTTCCCCAGTTGTAAGCTAAAATAGTAAATATAAAATCATATATATCCTAAACGAGAGTCTACTCTGATTTCTGTCGGTGTTATGTCGCAACGTGCACCTCAAAATGTCTCAGGCGTTGCACACTGAGAGTGAGTACGCCATGTATTTTCTCATGGATTGTTCCGTTGTATCAATCTTTGAAAAAGGTAATTCTTACTTGAAGGAAAACCTCTTAATATTTTCTTCCTTAAAAATATTATAAGTTTTTTGCTAGTCTATTGTTTTTGGAACACTGAAAATTTCAAATGAAACAAAACGATTTTTGTAGTTATTGTTATATGAACAAACAAGTACTAAAGGAACTCTCTTGAGCCCGCACAACACACAACATGGCGGGTGATCGAAAAAGCGAGCAAGAACGTTTCGAAGAAGAAATAGATTTAGAGGTTACCTTCAATGAGTTCGACGATGAATTTTCAGAGTATAGTGAGAGAAAATTGGACGAAACTGAGGAAAACAGCCGAAAAGACTCAAAACAAGGGGAATATCCAAACAACATATTTTTTAACGACGCTTGTAATCTTCAAAATGAAACTGTCAAAACACATAGCGTTACAGATGGAAACCACGCCGAAGATATGCTAAATATGGGAAGGTCAGAAGAAGGCGAAGTTTTTAGTTCGAGTGAAGACGAAGGTGGAGAGAAAATGGATTTTGATGAGGAACTAGACAATGACCTGAAAGCAGTCACTACGGCGAATTTCACGTCTGGTGGAAGTAACATCCAAGGAACACTTGAAACAACCACTTTTAAGTTTTTACCTCCTGATTCAGGTGAAGGAGAGGGAAGTAAAATAGAAACTGCATCGCAAGAGTTAATAAAAGATACTGTTAGGAGTGTTGATGTAACAGAGAGAGAAATACTTTCAATGGAATCTGATAATTCAGTGGATGATCAGAGTTGGAAGAGACATAAACGGGCCAGATTGGAACTGGAAAGCCAAGAGAATTCTGTGGAGAGGAAAAGGGAGGGAAAAGGTGAATAATAGAGAGTGGTGAGCATACTTACCTATCCCTACCAACATGGTTAAACATTGCCTGCTGCAAACAAAGCTGAAGGAAACTTGAAAACGTTCAAAGAAACTGCACAGTCAAATAGTGAACCCTTTACACCCTAACACCTGTATCCACATTCTCCATACCCCTCTCTATGCATTTCCTTGGTACTGACAAGGAGAATTTGTGTAACAATCAAAGCATCTTAGGATGGCAGTCATTTTCTTTATTCTTGTGATCTTCATGAATGATTCAGCAGTATTAGAAACTGGTCATTGTTGCAATTTAAAGGGTTAAAACAGCATACCTGTAGGTATGTATTGGTCAAATGCAAAAATTGCTCTCTTCCCCCAAAAAAAAAAAAAAAAAAAAAAGAAAAAAAATTCTCTCAGTTATCTGTTACATCTATATTAATCCTTCTTGCCCATTCAAAAGTCTCCTGGATATTAAGTAAAAATTTAATCTCTTGGTCTCTCCAATAGTTAGCTAATTATCCTGGTTTGAAAACAGTAGAAATCACGAAAATTTTATATCCATGGAATTTCTTTATTAACCCTTTGACACTTAAAACATGACTAGCATCTAATTTCTCCTTACAATATCACCTCTAAATCACACATTAAGGTCAAGAGAATCAAGTAAATGATTACCAATTAAAGAAGCTCTTGATTGTTAAACCAAATTCTCCTTGTCAGCACTTTAGGAAATGTATTGAGTGCAGTTTGGAGAATATGCATACTGATTCTAGGGTGTTCAAAGGTGAACTAAAAGATGGTTGTATTGGCAACATTTGTTTTATTTTGCATTATGTATGTATAATTTTCTGGCCCTGTAACTGTGAGGAGAGACTTGAATGGAGAGGATGTTATTAGTATCTCTGTTCTGAGCTGGCCAGATCTGTTTTGTTAAACCATTGAACACTTTACAAGTTAGGATCAATGAGTATATTCTCCATACTTTTTTTATACATTTCCTATGGTATTGACAAGGAGAATTTGTTTAACAATCAAGAGCTTCTTTGGTTAGTGACAATTTCAATTTTATTGTCATGGCCTTAATGTGTGACTCAGGGATGATATTGGAAGGAGAAATTAGATGCAAGGCACTCTTAGGGTTCAAGGCTTAAGCCTGTTGCTGATCTCTTAGCTGAGAGGTGATCAAGGAATAGTGGAGGAGAGCTGTGCTTCACAATTACCTCTATTTTTTTACAATACCATCATAGTGTGCTTGATTGACGGCATGTCTTTATACATTTTGTAGATGGTGAACGAGTGAAAACAAGAGGAGGTAAAAAGAAACGGAAAAGACCTGTTGGTAACCATTATGATGGAGGATGGCATCATAGAAGCGATACCCAGGAGGACCCAAAGTTAGGGAATCTGTTTAAGCCCTTAAAAGTTACTGCAGAAGATTCTGAAGAGGTTGTTGCTAAAGAAATAGCATGGAAACTAAATGAAGTAAGTACTGTAGTTGTAAATGATTCAGTTAGTGCTGTTAGTGTTTTAGACAGGTACAAAGAGGTTAAAAAGCCAGTCCATTTAGTATTAGTGAGGTGTTCTTTGATCAAATTATCCTTCTTAAAACAAACGTTATTGTGTTTCAGTCTAATGCTTTTTAGAACAAGCCTTGACTAAGTTCCAAAAGCCTATGTTACAACCAAGATTTTTGATTAGAGAGCAATTTTTTTCATGCAAACAAGAATATTATATGTCTTTAGATCATGAACCTATGTATCTTTCTAGGCTTGGCTAGCTTAATTTTCACCATAGTACCTCTCCTTTAGTGCACTTCTTTTCAAGGACACCGTCATCCAAGCTACATGTAAACAGACTTGAGATATATCCAGGACTGACCATAGAAATAAAGTAATAAAATGATAACAAATATGAGGGCATACGAAACCATTCAGGATATGAAGTTGTATGAAGTACACTCCACATGATACTTGCATTTAGTCCTAGACATTGGTGAAAAACTTAAGTTCCTCTTATAAAAAGTTCCTCAAAAACCTTTGTACTAATTACATGAACCCTCATTGAAGTTACGCTTTTATTGAGGGAAAACTTTTCTAGTTCCTGTGTTATGGGTTCTCTAAATGAAAGTCTGAGAGTCCTGTTAGAGAGCCCACCTGATCTTGCTTACAGGCTATTCTGTAATATGGTGAACTAGGTGTAAATCTGGCTCAGTGTATTTTGTCTTTTGCATTTTTACGACAGACAAAAACAACTCTCATTCAGCGAGTTGTCAGTTGCATTGGTTGTGAAAAAGCACTCAAGCTGTTTAGAGACACAAAAGAGGTTCAACTGCATGGAGGGATGTGGACAAAGGACAATCAGCGAAGGTAAACTATTTGCCAGTCATATGTATCATGTGCAGCAGCAAAAAATCACTCTCAGTCTCCTTTAAAGCCATCAGTTTATTTTGAACCCAACTCTTGTGTGTTACTCAGGTTTTTTTTCCTTCTATGTCACTGTCTCAAGACAGTCAATTAAATGTAATATTTCCTGTAATTCAATCAAAGTGCTATGTTTTTTTTCCTCAAAGGGAAATTGAAGGGAACTTTTCCCACGAAGGGGCATAGTAGAGACACTTTCCTGTGAAGGGACAATGTAGGGACACTTTTCCATGAAGGGACACTTGTCCATGAAGGGACATTGTAGGGACACTTTTCCAGGAAGGGACATTACAGGGACTCTTTTTCATGAAGGAACATTACAGGGACTCTTTTTCATGAAGGAACTTTGTAGGGACACTTTTACGTGAAGGGAAATAGTAGGGACACTTTTGTTAGCTCCAAGACTGTTCCTTGGATGAAGGCTGCATTGTTTACTGTCTCAAAGTTCCTTCAGGCATTTCTCCCACTATTTAATTTCTTTATTAGTAGGTACCTATTTTGTATTTAGGTCTTTCTAAATTAGTATCAGTTTTTGTTTTGTAGTTTGTCTTCAGTTGGAATAAACAACAGTTTCATCATTACACATGTAGTTAATTATATCAGCCAACCCTTAAACTCCCATGAGCAACCAAGACAGAATTTCTCCTCACAATATCAATACAAAATCAAGCAGACAAGTGATGAGAATGAAGAAAAATATTGATTAGATGATTATTAGTTTTTCCTATACTTAATTATCCTAACTAACATCATTAGAACAGACACTGAGGATGTGATCTTTGGAATGATGGGGTTAAACCCAAGTCTTGTGTTGAAATCTGTTCTCAAAGGAATGTGGTAAAAAATCTGGTAACTCCGCAACTCTGACCTTTTACTTTGTTTTTCATAGGCGTACAAGTGGAGGGGTATTTTTGGCGATTCTTAAAGATAGATACGTCTCTAAAGAACAAAACAAGTGGATTTTCGCGGTTGAAAACGAGATCAATAAAAAGAAAGCAAAAGAACAACAGCAAAGACTGAAAGAAGTTCAAAGGAAAGATATAGAGGACTTGAGAATGAAATTAAAACAAAAAGATCAGGAGTAACTCTCGGTGTAAAGTCTTATCTGAGAGAAATGAGCGAGAAGCCGCCTAAATTTTTGAATATGTGTACAGCCACTTCAAATGATTTGACGTACTGTGAGGACATGTAAGATGATAGCAAAACGATTAAAAATGAGGTGAACTTATTGTTGGCAGGTATGAGTTCAAACTTCTGTGAGAATTAGCCTTTCCTTTGGTGTGACTGTGTGTTTGAAGAGCTTACCCTAGCCTCTGTCGAGATTACGACAAAAAAATTTTATTTTATTTCAACGATTGGGCCCACTTTCCTCTCCGAAAACGCTCTGCGAAGTGAAATTTGCAACTTCTACTTCTAGAAGACTACTAGCCATTCCTCCATCATACGAGTTAAAAAAAAAAGAAAAGAAAAAGAAAAAAAAGCGAAAGAAGGAAGAAAGTACGCCTTTCTCCCAGAGTTCCGCACTGCGCGTCAACAACAATTTCTACCTCGCGACGGACTTCGCCAAAAAAGGGGGAACTGGTAGCAAAAACGTTTGGCTGACTTTTTAAGCAGAAAGAATTGATATGAAAAATATAATTCTACTAATGTGAGAAGAGAAGGGAAGGGTGTTTCCCCACCGCCTTTCCCTTTTGTCACTCTCCTTGCCTTGTCACCCTACATCAAACATGACGCTTGAACTGCCAGCTTAAAAGGCTTGGTAACAAGTTTAGGACCTTTATTTCTTTCTGAGATTAAGGAAAACTTGCCAGCTATTTTGGACACTACTACTCCAGTGTGTTAAACAAAATCACATCGCGCTTAGTTAAACATTGGGATCATGAACAAATTACACCAGCACGTAAGATACACGCCCTTTAATTTTCAATCCCATTAATTAGTTTAATTTGAAACTATCATAAATATCAAATTAATGATAATTGTGACAAATCTTAGCACCCAATTTGCCTCCTTCCTCGATTACTAGCTTAATTAGTGTCTTTTTCCTAGCACCTCTAACAAAGCAAATTTATTTAAGTACATTTCAAAAATAATAATGTTATATTCAAACTGTATTTACTGGAAAGGACTCACAGTGGAACGACTTCCGTCCATTGGGCGAATGTGATTTAGTTGACAAAGGAGAAGACAACAACTGAAACAGACTTTAAATAGTTTATGGGATAGTTGAATTTAATGAAAGAAATAAGATGAATTCTTTGTGATGGGCAAACTCGCGCCCGTCTCTTAACCAATCAGATGTTAGACCAAAACCAATCGCGACTTGGTCGCTCGCGTTTTCCTGCGCTTCAGTAGTTCGGTTCATTTTACTTTCAGATGCCATTGGCTTATTGAGATATTTCCCTTAGATCTAATTGGCCAATGTGATAACTTGGCTGTAAGGCAATCAGTCAAAAATTGCATTATAGGAACATTTTGGTAAGCGAAACTGATTTGGAAACGAAATGGTGCGAGTGTCTCGCATCGTTCGGCAGCCACAAAGACCTCATTGATGAAGGAATGAAACACACACACAAACAATAATGTGTTTTGCGCCCCGATTGCTGTCCTTTATCATGCCTGAGCATCATTTTAAATACACAAATTAGACGCTTAATTCCTTAGATGTGGCCAGTCACTCTTGAAGCAACCCAACCCAGAACAATCTGCGCGATAAAGCCCTGCCAATTGTTCCTACTGAGAAATAATTCACAGGACTGTTGACATTGACTAAACCGCCTTATTCGTCCTATTTCATGACTGATGCCAGACTGGTCTTATTAGAAATCATAGTTACCATTAGCCTTGATTTTCACAATGATCCTGCATCGAAAAATCGCGATATTGCAACGACCAATAAATCTAATTTCAAAATAGCAAAATTCTAAGAAGAAACTGTTGATCAAGCTTCAATGTGACCGTCTAACCCATATAGTAAGATGTACATTTCTCTCTCTAGACAACCAGTGTACTTACACTCACCTTATGTAATAAACGTTTCCTTGAATAATTTCTAATTTCACTCTGTTATATACTTACAAATATTTTTGAAAAATATTTCACGGAACTTAAGCAGATATACTGTAAGTGCACCCACAAATAGCTCTCTATTCTGCTGAATTCAAGTTCGTCCTTGAAGCGTTTACGAAGCTTCCGATTCCTTCCGTTTTCATTTTCTTAAGGCGTTGAACGACGTCAACAGTCTCGTCAAAATAATGGACAAGATAAGGCTCAGTGGACATAGAAGCCAGTAATTGTTCAAAACAAATCGACCAATGAAGGTCGATGGCACCGGGCGAAAGTCTATCGTTTGATTGGTCAGTATCTAACGCACCTGACAACGGTCTGTCATTTGATTCGTCTGTATCTAATGTCCCGGATGAATGCCTATGGAGTGATTGGTTTCCAATTGCCGTCCCGGAAGAAGAGCTGTCATTTGACGGGCCTTTACGTTCATCAAAAATGCTTTCGGGGTAGTGGCCTTCTTTGACAACAAGCAATTCTTTGAAGTCTTTTTCATTAGAATTTCTACTTTGATTAGAGTTTTCACCTGTCGAAAGGGGATCACTATGACTCAGTTTGTTATAAACCTCGTGTAAAGTATCTTGAGTGTCATTCTCTTCGCACGTTACAGCTTCAGGTGTACTAAACCCCTCGTCGCTGCCCACGAGAATAAAGTCATCTCCCGCTGCACTTCTCACAGGACTACTGAGCGAAGATTCACTGCTCCTGGCGGCATCAATCAGTTCTTCCTTTACTAAAGTCGACGATTCAAGTTCTGACGTTACAGTTATTTCGCTAGGTGTACTTAACACATCTTCCGTGTTTGATGTCGATGTTTCAAATTCTGCTACGTGAAGTGGGTCCATGAACTGGTCCAGATCATCGCTCTTGGACTGCTGATCAGTGGTTTTGTCTCCACTAGTGTTCAACTCTCCTCCAAATTCCCCCAGCTTAAGCAAAATGTTGCCTACTGATGCAATGGCTTGATACATCTGTTGTTCATTTGGCAGCTCACGGAAGAGCGAGTACATAGTTTTCCACAACAAAATAAAATTTCCCTTCAAAAGAAAAGATATCACAGCTTGAGAATAAATATTTTCCGTTGACGCGTGAAACATAGAGGCCAAAATAAAGTAAAAAAAAAAACAAGAAAAATATTTAGGGCACCGTTGGCAGGCTTACTATTATGTGTGGAAGGGTGGCCTAACATTAAGCGCGCAAGACTACGAATCGAAAGGATTGGGTTCGAGACCTAGGGCCTGTTTCTCGAGGATTCTATTAACTAAACGAGCCCCCGGAAAGCTGTTCTGTTTTCTGCGAAGATGGGGCTTTGAAGAGGTTTGAAAATTCTACAAGAAAACTATCAGGCAAAGTAAAAAAATGGAGTGGTTAGAGTGCCAGAGCCTGCTTCTCTAGACTTTAAATTTTAATTACAGAATGTGGGTTCGGGCCCGTAAAGTTGCCGGGACTTCCGAGGTACGAGCCCTTGGCCGGGTCGTTGTGCTGAATACTGAAGCAAAACACCTCATTCTTACAGTGCCTCTCTTGGTTCAGAGGCTTAACTCTTTACACCCTGACATCAGTTTGCATATTCTCCATACTTCCTCTACACATTTCCTCACTTGCTGACAGGGAGAATTTATTTAACAGTCAATAGCTTCTTTAGAGGGTGATCATTTCCTTTATTCTCGCGACTTTGATGTGTGATTCAGGGATGATATTGTAAGGAGAAATTAGATGCTCGTCACTCATACGAGTCAAAGGCTTAAACGAGTGCCAGCGAAACATCAGAAAAGCCTGACGAAATACTTGGGGGGTGGAGAAGCCTAAAATCCACTTTCATCCCGTCCAGGGAGGGAGGAGGGGGTAGGTTATTGTATTTCTTGTCGATTTGTGTTTCGGAAACCGAGATAACCTCCGGCCAGATGGCGTACTTGCCTCGAGAATAAACTAAATCTTTACTCTGGTAACTTATGCAGCCACTATACCAGATACTTCTCATGTTACGTGTACTGTCGATTGCCAGAGCCTTGACACCTCAAAGGCATATTCCGTGAACGATAAGACCCAACAGCTTTATGGGAGATATTCGCATAGTTACGCAATCAGTATTCATGGAAAATCTCTGTTGGCTTCTATCATTTACCACATGCAACTAACACACCTTATTGTGTTTATCAGGTACATTTGTACTCATGAAGCTATTGGGCATCACCGTTCACTGCCAAGGCCTTTAAGGAATCAACCAATATGCAACCAAGTGTACATAAAACAAGAAGCTTGCAGTTCGAACAATGACTCAAAAATTGACTCAAAGAACCCTCATTTTACCTGACTCATTCGTGGTATTTCACTGCCTCTCTTTTCACTGTCTTCATCAGTCAGAGTTCTATGACTTCGTGCGACTGTTTTCAACGAAACACTCACGGGTGACTCCTCTTTAGTGCGAACCCTCGAGACGCACTCATCAAGCGGCGGGAGCTGATCAACTGACTGCGTCGTCATGTCCTCAACACTTTCACCTTCAGTAAGCTCATCACAGCTGTCTACTGACTCTTCATCGCTAACTTGCGCAGTGTCGTCGTCGCTCAGGGCGGGAGGGACGTGCATGCGGTACATGAACTGCATACGATCTTGGAGTTCACCCTTACAGATAATACCCAGCCCTTGCGCAAACTCGCGGAAACTAATGAGTCCGTCTTCATCTCGATCAATCACCTTAGCATGGAAAACAACAAGCAAGACAACGATAAAAATCATGTCAAAAGAGAGCCGCATTAAAGAACATTTTCCCAAACGGAATATTCAGAGAAGTTTTAAGCCCCATCCACCCCAAAATGGACAGAATATTCCCTCTGGAAACGCTGTTAAGAGTATTCCGTTCACTATGGAAGACGGGTTAAAAGTTTACCGCTCACACTACAACAAAAAGCAGCGAATGAAACGTTTCCCGGCATTCCCAGATATCTTTAATTAAGCACTGACCTTGAATGCTCGCTGAGTCAAGATAGGACCAATCTCCCCAGTCCCCCAGTTCGTAAGGCACTTAAATAGAGGCGCGAATCTCTCGCAATCGATACACTGATTCTGTATGAGCGGAAACTGGGGCGGAGTATCCTTACTGTCCGGGTTGCCATGATTACGCGTCAGAATGTGTCCTGCCTGGAAAGTCAATTTGCAAAAGAAACAAGGTGAATGACAATAGGAGATTTGTATAATGCTTACAAAGTCTTGAGTTTTCTGTCTATATACTACAAGTGGTACGAGCTATGAGCAAAGTACGCAAATGAATTGAATCTCGGTTGATCTATCCAAAATTGGGTTATCACTCCACTATCATTTCATTTACTGGTTTTCGAAATGCATCCTACGGTATCACCCGAGAATCGAATCGATCGCAAAAGGCGTAATCACATACAGGCAACCCTGAAGGAAGTAAACAAATCAAAGTTTTGTGCAGCTGTTTTGATGCTCCGCTTTTGATGTGAACTTTTCCTATATTCAATGTATACCGTTCCCAATTTGCACTTTCTTTAGCCCTGATATGGTAAAATGAAGCACAGTGGAATAACAGATACATATGCTGTACTGGGTCTTTTAAATCAAGAACTCCCCTTTAGAACACCTCTATTCAGGGGACACTTTCCTTGGTCGCAGGGGTGCCCCCTGCAAAGATATTCCAATGTCTTCTGTCTTTGTTTCTCTCTAGTGACGAGTAACTTGATAATCTAGCTTGAGATTAAGAATCATCATTTCTATCGTCATTGGACGCTTTTGACTCTGCCAATCCTGGAAGGGGACAGACTACTTAAAAACGGACTAACTCGTAAACGAGGTCAACGAGGTCGCTGATCCCAGCTGGGAGAGAATGCAAACAAAATATGAATTGGAAGGTTTAATTCTTCTCCCTACTTCGTACAATACATTTTGAACAGATTTTTACCTCAGGAGCAAATTTATTGTTTTTAACATTCATGGCTATTGGTGTAGACTTACCTTGAAAACAGCATATAACTGTTCCAGTTCCTTTTGCTCAAACAGACAGGTTTCCACTCCCATGGATCTCACAGCATTTCTTCTCATACTGTCCTCGAGGCCCTGATCAGTACCAGAAGAGAAATAAAAAATTTAACCTGAGATAAATCTATTTTCAATTTCATGCATACTTCACAAAATTTTGCACTGTGCTTATTTCTTAACGCCTCCGACTAACCGTTTTTCCTTAATTGAATCGGGGACAACAATCGCGATAAATCACAATTGTACTTATCAAATAAAACAGAAATATATGAAGTATATGTTTTAGCTTACAATGTCTCGCTTTTTCGATATAAATTTAAAAACTGCCGTGACGCGTCTCCATACCTGAACAACTTTTAGTCTCTGTGCATTTCTCATGGAGTCAATGGTCTCTGCTGTGATGAAGCCAAACTTCTGATATGATTCCAAAATAAGGTTGGCTACATCCACTGTGCTGTGGTACTAAAAGGAAAAAAACTATCAAATATTACTTGACTGCTTTCTACCACTGTGAGAATTGCCTCATTTTGAAAATTTCAAATTCAACGTCAAACTTAAGAACTTTTAACCACAGATACGGACGCGATACATTGAGGGACAATCCGAAGCGACTTGCTTTTGTAACTTCGAGCATCGCACAAATTCAAGCCTCTTTTAATTTGTGCAACTTGCTACGGACACGAAATTCCGTCGCAGAAAAAGGAAAATTGATAGAAATCATCCTCCTCCCCCTTTCCGTTCAAACGACACGAATTCTAGCCATAACTTGAACCCAGGACATATCACAGCAAAGTGTCTCGCGGCCCTAACACTGATCCTAAATTAACCACAGAAATTACGTTATTGTGGCATTTAATTCAAGATTAGAATTACTCGTGCTTTGGACCAAAGCTTTCGGGAATTAACCTGCTAACTCTGATTTCCCAAAACTGCAAAATATCGAAATTGGGCGACAAAATTTTACCTCGTCCAATATCAAACCAGCAACAATTTCACAGGCTTTCATGAACTAATAACAATTACTTATCCTTTTGTGAACCTTCTGCGCTTTCATGGACTAAAGTGAAATACTTAAACAAGGCCAGTCTGACAAAGAACCCTGCGCGTGCGTGATAATGCAAGAATGACTCATTACTGCATTATCACCTCTCTCGCACAGAAAGACGAGTTTGCGACAACAAAACGTTTGTGATAGACAATGAAATAGTTTTCGTTTTGAATATAAAAATTGTTTTGTTGGCAACATGTTCTTCCAAGTAAAGTTCCCGCCGTGATGTACAAACTGGGTTCTTTCTGTGATGGTCATTTGAAAAGTTATCAATAATTACTGCAGAAATTCTAAATTTCACACCATTCCCTCCCCAATCCCCAATACAATTACCCCAGAGGAAGGCGATCCATTGTTTTTGTTGTAACCTCCTTGGTAATTGGTCAGCGTGATCGCGTCCCTGTTGGTCACGTGCTCCAGGTAATTCCCTAATACCGTCATTGCCTCACCATCGTCTTGGACAGCTAAAAGTTTGTTTCTGTTTGCGTCAAGTGTAGCCAAGGCAATCTGAAACAGTACCTGGAAGAAGAAGATCGTTTTTTGATGGTTGAACTCACGATAAGATGGAGAGGTTGCAATGTAAGTAAGCTTTGAGTTGCAAGCTCTTGAATCAGTTCTTCATTTTTAACAACAGAATAAAAAAGACGACAAATAGAATAAAATTTAGGATCACTACCCATCTCGAAAAACTATCAGAATCATTTTTCCTCTAACGCATATGGAGAGAAACTCACGAGTTCACAAAAACAAAAAAAATTTTTTCAGTAAGTAACAATGGTGATCGCTCAGAGATGAACAATAGATTCTAATAAAAGATCAGTTGAAATGAAAAAATATTTATCAAATAAAGTGAGTTACAGGTTTTATACCACTCAGAAGACAAAACGTCTTTACCTTGGTACCGTCATAGAAAAAGCAATCTATGATGCTGACAGCACTGGTAAATGGCATGACACTGAAAACAACAAGAAAAACCCAAGTGTCTTACAAGAAAGGAAACAACACGTCCCAAAAGAGATTATCTTAACAAACCACCACCATCGCTAGCTTAATTGAATTTTATAACTTAAAGTATAAGTAAAAGAAATTGATTTCTAAGCGACACCCGCAATTACAAAAGCCCTCGCCCATACCATGGGATTCGAATTAGGATCTACGGAAAAATTTTATATACACCGTGTTTTGAAAGTAGTTGTAACGTAACATTCATCACCTTTATTTAATCTAGCCTTAAAATAGTTGTTCTAGCTCTATACCCCCCTACTCTCGCTGTTTTTTGTAACGAAAAGTCATGGGAAGCAGGGTTTTTTGGAGGGGGGCGGGTGGGGGCAAGAGTAAAGCAGCAAAGTGAATGGGTCGTGGGTTGATATCAGGTGCGTTGCAGGTCGTAACAACATCTGCGGGATGATTACAACGGGAACGGTCGCTTGTTATTAACCTGTAACACTCAAGGGGTGGCAACACAAAAGAAAACTTTCATTCGCAAGTCATATTTCAACACGTTAGCACATAATTTATCAGCCTGAACACCGCTACCAGGGAAGATGGGCAAGCTAAACTTTAAACCAAAGTTACCTGAGGAAGAGTGTAAGAAACCAAGACAGGGAGATCATGTTGAGAATTCCAAGTTCCATCAGGTGATCATACAACTCTGGCAAGTGATCACGGGTAAGGTCCTCGAACACTCCTGGAGGACACAAAAAGGTTTAGAATACCAACACTTTACTAACAAAAACCATAAAGCGAAAAAAGAAAGTAGCTAGACAATCACCTTGATCAACAAGAGCTCCAACAACTCTTGTGTTATAGTAATCTGGCAAAAGACGCTCACAAACCGCCACTAACAACCAGAAAGCTTCTTCTTCTGTGCAGTATAACAACAGCACTGATGCTACAATATTCATGGCTTGACAATACCCTAGAGGTTACACGACATGCAAAGAACGTAAGCTGATAGCAGGTTTGAGAAGTCACTTAAAATTGGATACCTCTGCAAATTTACGTCTACATACAAACCTATGCTTGGGTTTCTCCAGGCGTAAGATGTCAGAACTCTCCGCAAAGCTGCTATTCCCACTTCAGACTGGAAGGCAGGGTGTTCAGGAAGTGACCTACAACGGGCAGATGATTTACAGCTTAAAATAGTTTTTACCATATTGAAAACGTTAGTATCACAGCAGAAGAACAAACAAGATCAAATTTGTTTTTCTTTTCTGTAGCGTAACGCTCTTGCTGAGTGTTTTTTTTTTCTTTTTACACCCACCTGTGTAGATCTCTTTCAATCTCCTCCGTTGCCAAAGTGGTTTTTCCCTCGCACTCCTCCACCAGTGTGGCATAGTAACCAGGGTGAGTTTGAATCTGTTCAGATTGAGACAAAACACGTTTCCTTCATATTCAGCATATGACCTTTTCGATCTAACCCGTACCAGTCTCCCTTGAGGCTTCCACATATTTCCTAGTGGGTTAATTGGGATAGTTTGCTCCTCGATAAAGACAACACCATCTGGCTAATTAGCCTGACTGTTCTCAGACCCTGTTGTCTGTTTATTTAAACAAAGTTTACAAGTTGTTTATTAAACCTGTGTCCTAACAAATCCAAAATTTACTGAACCTTTCAGCTGAACTTTTATTTTTGTAAACAGTGTAAAGAGGGCTAATAGCTATCAGTGGAAAGACATGAATTCAATTCAATCAAACCTTTTATAGAGAAAGGTTGAAGCCCACTCATTGCGTACAACCGTGGTTTGTGTTAGATTTCGTCTAAATAACCGGTCCTGTATGTTTGGTACTGATCATTTTCAGAGAATATAATGAATGGCTATGCATGGGCCAGCGCTTTTCGATTGATTGCCGAACTCTTTAACTCCCATGAGTGACTAAGACAGAGTTCCCCCTTACAGTGTTTGATTGTGTTCAGTTTAGTTTTGAATCTGATTGGTTGACAAAGTGGAGCAAGTTTTCCGAGCCAATCGCTATCGCTCCTGGATACTCTTGGACACTTACTCCATCAAACAGGGAGATTACTAGATAATCACTTTTGGTAATGTAACAGCTGAGCTTAAGACAAACGAGACCTTAAAAGTAAACATCTATTGACAATCTGAATCCACCAATCTTCACTGGTGTCTGTACTCTTTCTAGTCTCCCTTGCAGCCGTTGCTTAGTCTCGTCACGCAGCGCGTAATCTGTAACAGGGTGAAGGGGGAGAAAGCGCGTTGCGTGACGAGATCAACGGCTGCGAAGGAGACTAAATTCTTTTTTTTTGGCCTTATTACAAATGATTGGTTAACGAATAAATTCAATTAAAGTACTGGCTGCCTAGAATAACAATTGGATCCTGCGAAGCTAGGCAGCCAGAAAATAGAAAATAAAATTGTTATCACAAGTCAAATATATCATCTGAAATACGCGTCAACCCCTACATTTGTAGCAACTTGTACCTGATTGATAGCACCAGAGAATATTAGCCATACTTCTGCCCTCAGACTATCAGGAACGCCTTTGAGTATCAAATCCTGGGTCTTGACAGTGCGATACATACAAACACCCCTGAAAAACGCCAATAAAGTTAATGGATTTTGAGACAATCTCGTTTCCAGTGACCCTAATTTTTCCACCTCCTGAAAGACGAGAGAGACTGGGGTTGAAATTGGAGGTTCCTATGCACTAACCGCGTTCGAAGTCGTACTGTAAGTTATGGACTGATCTTTTTCCGCTCGGATTTATGAACCAAGCGCAAACGAAAAAATGAGGTTCGTAAGATATTTATGTTATCTCTGAATTCAAACAAAGGGAGAAGATTTCAATAAAAAAAAACTCTAGATGTGCGGGCTGCACATATAAATACGACCCGCTAAATTGAGTAATCATTTATATATATATCATTATCTAACCAGTTGTAATAATCTGTTTTTACCTTCCGTAGTCTGCAAAATGCAACCGCCACAAATGTTCTTTGATAGTCTCCTTAGCATTCACATGTGCAGCGGGTGTGTTGGAGAAAACTGTGGTGAGAGGCGGCTGGAATGTTGCCTTCGTCACACTTCCTTGGACGTCCCAGTCTCCTTTGTCACTGGATCTGTTTCCAACAAAAGCACAAGATTCACGTATCTATGTTAGAGTAGAGACCTTTAAAGATGATTTTACAAGCACCATGACCGAACATGAAAAAAAACAAAACAAAAAAAAAATACATGAAGCTGTAAAACAAGCATTCATCAAACTCACTTTGGCTCTGGAGTCTTTGCTAAGAAGTCAGAAATTAGTCTTGTCAGATAGTCTCGGTCTTGCAGAGATGCAAACAAAAAGCTGGCCTGCAGAGAAAGAGTGGAAAAGGAGATCTAACAACATGCAGTTTTTTTAACCCTTTCACTCCCAAGATCTTATTAGTATTTCTCCTTACTGTCTGTCACACAGCTCTTATGAAGTTAGTTCAGAGAATTTGGTATTAACTAATAATCATCTAATTGATATTTTTATCTATTCTCATTACCAATCTGCTTGATGTTATGTCCATATTGTAAGGAGAAATTCTGTCTTGTTCACGCCTGGGAGTTAACCCTTTAACTGACCCAAGATCTGATGTTTAATTCTCCCCTCTAGCTGCTACACATTTCTTTGTAAATAAGTTACGAGAATTTGGTGTCGGATCAAGATAACAACAACACCTTCAACCTGATAAGTTTGAATATTCTCACGACCTGTTCGCTAGATAATGTTTAAATACTATAGGGAGAAGTTACTTGTTTATCACTTCTGGGAGTAAAAGGGTTAAAGGGTTATAGCACGGTAAATCACTAAAGAAAAATGAAAAAGTCCTTTAAAAATATATTTTTTCCTTATCATTCCAATGATCTGAGAAGTAATTCTCCCTTTTGCTTGCTATTTAATTCGGCGTTCATCACTTTTGTGAAATAGGTGCCGTATCAACATGAAAAATATAACTTTTTCGAGGACTTGCAAGGCTGGGAATGCCTCATGGTAATTAACAACTACTCACCAAAATGGACCTGACTAATGATGGACATTCACCGATCCACGAGGCAGCAAGATAAATATCCACTGCTAATCACGGACACCGAAGAGAATAGTTGATTTAGTATATACTAAAGCAGTGAGATAATATATCACAAAAATGTGATTTTAACTCATTTATTCTTGCCACGATTACAATATTTTCGGGGACAAATCTCGCGCGCATTGCGTGAAGATGAATAGCAAATGATATTCAGAGTTTGAGTAGCCAATCAGAGCGCGTCTTCAATGCCATCCACTGTTTTAGTATATACTAATTCAATTTACTCTGAAGATGCTCACCTTTGATTTGGTTGTGATGTGCACTGCATTTGGTATTATTGCTGAAGTTTCCACTTTTTCAACCAGTGTAATTTCTCTCATTGGAATCACCACCGACATTAACTGTCTGACCTAAAGGACCAACAAAGCAGTACTTGCTACCTCTGACAAAATTTTCACTGACTTTATACCGCATCACTGTTTTACTTCTACGCCAATTTACCATACTGGGCCAACGGAATACGCAAAATATGCCATGGTATTACACTGTACAACAGAGAAAAAATACGGACGGGAAACAGAATAGCCCCGCTAAACGATAAAAAGGTTTCCCTTTTTTTTTCGGCTTTATTTTTCATTAAGCAAACTTTACAGCGCTAATAATAAACCCCTTTCTCGATGTTTTAACATATAATACGAATAGAAATTCAGTTCTTTACCAGTATTTTACCACAGAGCTCGCAAAATATCCGCGCCTACTACATGTTAAACTATCAAATAAGGTGTGCATATCATGCCCTTTGTCTCACCTTGCTGCTAAAGCAGAGGTAGTTTGGAGAGCAGTACAATGTTCCCCATTCATGAGCCTTTTCATGAGGACTCCACAGGGTGCATTCACAGTGACCATCAAGCTTCTCCTCTACAGGTAGCCGAAACAAGTTTCTGAAGATCAAACAAGATATCAATGGCATACCTACAGAAAGGGGGAGGGGTTTCTTTGGTGCCAGTGACATACTTACCATGCACCTCAATCATGAAAAACTCACATCTATATCCTACAACTATAATCTAACATTCACATAAAAAAATGCCTCACATCAATTCATTTTTCTAGTTTACCTGTAAAATTCACTGTGTGCTCTGGCATCTAAGTCTCTCTTCAGAGATGGCACCTTTTTCAATTGTTTGCCTCTGTTTCTATGATAAGTCAGTCAAAATATAATAATTATTTAATGCATACATTCTAGAACAAACAACTTAACATTCATTTGTCCTTACAACCAATTGCATACAGCAGATGACATCATTAGGAATTTTTTCCTGTATCTATTCACTAAGACAAATAATTATGACCCTTTACAGCATTTCAGGCAAAAAGGTGACAAAATTAATACATGTGATAACACAGCATACAACATGTGTAATGTGACACAGATACAAATACGCTCAAATATAACAAACACAACAAAGAATATCATAGTACCTTTAACCCTTTCACTCCCAAGATCTAATTAGTAATTCTCCTTACTATCTGCCATACAGTTCTTATGATGTTAGTTCAGAGAATTTGGTATTGGATCAACTAATAATCCCATGGTTGACATTCTTCTCTATTCTCATCACCTGCCTGCTTGATATTGTATTGATATTGTAAGGAGAAATTCTGTCTTGGTCACTTGTGGGAGTTAAAGGGTTAAGGCACTCCTAAAAGGCCTTTGTTTATGTGCAAGCTTATATCACCATAATGAAACAGCAGTTCTCAAATAGCAATAATTGACAATCAAAATATCAGAAAAGAGAGGTGACTTCCTTTAAGCCAGCTTACAGTTTATCTCCCACAGTAATGATCTGTGTATTTTCTAAATTGACTGGGCCTAGCTGGTAAGTGTGGACAAAGCATTCTGTGCTACCCACTAGATACAGATTTATCCACCCCTTGCTCGATGGGTTACTGGTGCATAACTTTCATTTCAAATTCTAGGCTTACAAATTCGCAGACCAGTTTGATTTTCATTTTCTTTTGTTACAAACAAAGGCAAAACATCAATACTGGTTTGAGAAATTCTAATGTTAGCTTTGATGAACAATCTGAGCCAATGAGAACAAAACACTGAGTCCCTTACTTTGTGAGTAAAGGCAATGTTTTGTCTTCCTCATAACCTTCTTCTGATAGCAACCTATGACAAAGACAATGTAAGAAAATAAAATCAACAGAATTTATTGTTACAAATAGTATTGAATCATAGGCTGTCACAATTTAAAGCCTTTCAAGGCCTTTTCCCATCTTGATGTCAAAATCTGGAATGAAATACCCAGTGAATATAAAAATTTGCTGAAGAAATCCTTCAAAAAAGAAACAAAAAGAGCTCCTCTCAATATTCTATAGACTGAAAATTATTTTATGGAGCCTGATGAAATAATACTAACATTCAAAACTGTGGCAAATTGAACCAGTTCTGCACAATTTTGTGTACACTTAGAAACTCTGGGACTTTTTCTCCTATACAATGAGTGTCTTTCATTTTCCTCTTTTTCTTTTCTTAAGTATCTTTTTAGGTCTTTTAACATGTATTTCTTCATTTGTGTATTATTCCAGTGTAATTTAATTGCTTAGGGTTAGAGTAAAATTAAATTTAGTTAAGGAAAAATTTAGCTGCCTGATTAGGATCTGCTATCTGCAGTTCAGAGGAATATCTTAATACATGTATATAGATATATCTAAAAAAATAATAAAATAAGTGTGAAAGCAAGAAGTTACAGCAAGTAGACCCTCTCTCATACACAAAAGCAAAAATATGCTATGCTAAAAAAAATTCAAAAGTGGTTAGCACAATAGTCATTGAAAACAAGTAACTTGCCCCCAACCACTATCACCTGTCTTATTTGAATTTTGGACAGCTTCATTGAAAAGTCAAATAATCCCTGGTGAACATATGTTCTAGAAATCTCCAATCAAGATTTTAAACCATGTCATCACAGAACAAGTTCTTGAGCATGGAATATTTCCCAGAGCTTTTGCTACATAAATTACACTCATCAAGACCAGAATGTATATTAAACAAAGGGTTGTAGGGTTGTACTTTTCTAATCACTGACTGACACATCATCCTTCATGTAAGCAACATACTGTACATTGTAAATACATAGACTAAAATGATTCCTTACTGTCGCATGGCTAGATTAGCCAGCTGCTCCATGAGACCAAATGTTTCTGTTATATGAAGCAACAACGAGAAACAGAACTGCAAAATAATACAAAAATAAATTTTAAAGTAAGGCTTACAATCATGGCTTCTAACATAGAATAATTACTAAGAAGCATCTATGGGACTGTCCTGGAAGAAACCCACTCAAATTCCAACAGTACTCTTGACAAATTTTTAATTACATGATAAACTGAATGATACACATGTCCTGAATGGTTCTTCCTTGTACAAATCTCTTGGAGGACAGCCAGATACTTGACATCACCATAAACAATATTTCATTTTTCATTGTACAAAACAAACAGATTCCATGTTGCCGAGCATCTGTTCAATAATAGATCACAGAAGATGTCAAAATGTGGTAAAAACATCTGTGACACTCTTGGCTTTGCAAACAAACTGATTTGAGATGAAAATCTACAATTTGCAGAATAAACTAATAATCTGAAAGTTGCAAAATGCAATGTGTAACTTGCAAAATGAAAATCTGTTCTCGGAAAATGGAAATCTGTAATTATTGAAAAAACACTTTCATTTTCCCACTAAGCATGATATTTTATTCAGAAACATGCTGTTTACACTTTTGGTTAAGCTACATTTTTCATATTTATGTCCAGTCAGGGCAAGTGTCATGTCAAACATTGAATTATTGCAGTGACTAAACACATTGCTGACACCTTATAAACAGCACAGTCACAGCACCAAGTAATTTTTCAAATAAGTAATATATATATGCTTTATATGGCTGAATAGCACAGCACTTCTTTCAAATAGCCAACCCACCATTTTCTTTGCAAATTGCAGACTCTTATCTTGCAAGGTACAAACTTTAACTTTATTTTGCAGATTATGGAGCGACATTAAACAATTTAAGCCTCCTTTGTCGGTCTTTTAATGCAATTTTCCCTTTCTTTCATAACTTGGCTATTCTTCTTTTCAAGGAAATTGTTATTTTTATGATAAATTGGTAAAAAGACTTTGCATTGTCCAATTCGGTCAGCAATCATACCCATGATAAACAAATGAGATTCCTACTGCACAGTCGTCCCATTTTGTTCTCACTCATATGAATACAGACAGAATTGAACTCCATTCAGTCCTATTACTATAACTAATAACTTGATGACTCCTTGTGAAATTTTCCTTCTCTCTAATTCGCCATCATGACTGCTTTGGTTTTCATTCCAAAACACTCCATCAAAAAGCATTCTAACAACAAAGGACATTTTTTATGTGGAAACTGAAGATAATCACCTCTCCTTCTCTTGTTGTGACTTTGACTCCATCAGTAAATAGGACACTACTGCTTCTCTCTAAAGACTAAAATATTGAATTTTCTATCAAAATATATGAAAAGTCAGTTTTTACATTGTATAAGCATACAAAAATCAATTGATATGAAACTGGAGAAATTCTGTATCATCAATATCTATGGTATATTTTAACAAGTTTATTTATCAGAATTATGACCCGTATGTCATGTGTGCACTTGTGCATGTATTGGAAAATAATAAAAATTCAAGTATGAGGGTCACGTATGATGGTGCAAGCTACAAAAGCCATATCACCCAACAAGCTCTCTGATTTAGTTTGGGCTGCATGCAGAAATATTCTGTTCTTGGTTTTGATATTTTGACCTCACTGTTTTGACTGCAAACCAAATATTTTTCCACCTGGTTCACCCACTGGCATGATAAGTAAACAACATAGAGAACATTGTAAGGTCATATCAGTTGGTCCCTCTGCTCCACCCCTCTAGGGTATAGTTCATCCAATATTTCAGAGAAAAGTCTCTCTACCTGGGAGGTGGGGTTGAGGGTTAAATTTCATTTACATTTCCTACAGGGGGTATATTCTGAAAACTGTACTAGGTATTGCAAAATAATATAGCAGCAAGAATTGCAGTTAAAGACTGTGCAATCTTTACATCCTAACATCAATATGTATATTCTCTATACTGATCTCTGTAAATTTCCTGAGGTACTGACAAGGAGACTTTGTGTGACAATCAAGAGCCTCTTTAGTTTGTGATCATTTCCTTTATTCTCAGAAACCCTAATGTGTGATTCAGGGATGATACTGTAAGGAGAAATTAGATGCATACCACAACATCCAACCATCTGATGACAAGCCTGGCCTCTTTTCCCATCAAAAATGAATAAAAGCACATGTAGTTAACAGATAAATACAGCCAGCCTTGACGAGGAACTCTGCCTTTCCAGAAGCTACAAGAATAGTCTGAAAAATATATATATAAACAGTATTTATCAACAGAAGCTGAGTATTGCAGCTGATCTGTGCTGTTTGAAACACAAATGTGGAGTATAACTTAACCCAGTTTAACCCTGAGAAGCATTTGACCCCAGGTAAGTTAGTAACAACTTTATTAATAGAGGGTGACATGTAACTCTCTGAACTGATGACCTAGCTACCCTCTGTCCTAAAAGATCTTGTAGAAGAGGTTAGAATAATCTTATACATACAAGTTTAAAAAATAAAAATGTTTGCCCGACAGAGAGAATAAACAATGGATTGACTAATTATCCCCAAAATTAATATTTTTCTTTATTCTCATCACTTATCTGGTTGATATTGTATTGATATTGTAAGGAGAAATTCTGTCTTGGTAACTCATGGGAGTTAAAGGGTTAAGCAGCAGCCAGTTTAACCCCTTTCAGTAACAATTCCCTCTAATCCATTATGTCTGCATCCAGGATAACACTCAGTTGATAACAACACTAACATATACTTTGAGCTATAATAGGGTTACAAAGAAGGATGCCTGATATTGTAAAAATAATTTATGGTCACTTGAACACTGACAAAATATTCAAGTTCCTTCCTGTAAATATTTTATCAACTCTTATCATTTTATCACTTTTTTTTCTTATACACTATAAAATTTTAGTAAAATAAACTTTTACACTTACAGTTAACCAGTTTTTCCTCAGCTGGGATGTTAAAGATCCTATGAAATCTCACTGTAGCTGACTTAAATCTGTTGGTTTCTGTTTCTGCTACAATGTCTTGATCTGCTGTTTCATTAGCCACCAGACTTTCAATCTTTGCCTTCACAAACTCTCTGATGTCTTCTTCACTTTCAATAGTTTCTGTTGAATAGAACAAAAAATTGCTGGGATTGATTTACATGATCTTGGTTCTTGTAAAGGAATACAAAATGCACTGTTTCAGTGAAATACTCTACTCATCAGTCATGGCATGTTAAGCTTACTTATGGAGTAGAGGGAAATAAGATATCTGGGTTACAAGTACATGTAAAATTTGAGATTGAGACAAGTATTTTGCAGCTTTGTCTTAAAAATTAGTTTGCATTTTTAAAAACAAGTAACCAGTGAAACACTGGTATGCCTAGAGAACATTTTTAAATCAAGAAAATTGTTGCAATAGTCATCTAAAAACCTATAAGTATGGAAATTTGATTCCAGTGATGAAGTAAAATCCTTCTAGTGGCTGTTTATACTACAACCTACCTAATGTCCCAAGCAAATGTTTTGTTAGCCAGTTCCAGTCCTCCTCAATCTCTTGGAATGATGCTGCACTTGCAATCACTAAAAAAAAAATACAACACAGCAGTTATTTAAGGTGTCTGCCACATGTGGTTAAATTGTTGGCTAAACACCAGGATGATTTCAACGCCGGCTAAAGCCACATCCTTAGATGTTGGTTTTAAACTTATTAGCGGAACAGTTTTGCTACTGATGAGCTGTAGGAAAGATCAGGTCTGGAAACCCACTCAAATACAAATCAATTAAGCCTTGAAGTGGAATCCCCTTGGCAAATGGACCAGAGCACAACTAACAAACACCTGTTGGTAACATGTTCAGGCCAAGCTGAAGAATTGGGACCACATACAGCCCACACTCCAAAGGCTAGCTCAGGACAGGATAAGGTGGACAAGGGAGGTCATCTGGAGTACAGCCTATGCTCAAGGGAGAGCCAAGAGCATAACTAACTTGTTTTCCAACTATAATTTTGGCAATTCATGGGATTTGAACCAAAAAAACCTACAAGAGTAGTCTACATGTGATACTTCAAGTGTTATTTTATTAGCCATTAGCTTCTTCAAGTGCAATATTACTTCCTTTCCTTTCAATTCACATGTGATGCAACCTGATCACTCTATGTTTGGGTATATGTTTTGGTAGAGCGTCTGGTCAAAAGGAGTTTATTGTTTCCTCTATCCAAGGTAAATTAACAAATCCTTAACCCTCTGACCCCTACTTGTGATTAACATCTACTATCTCCTTGGAGTATCACTGCTGAATCAGGTGTTAAGGTCATGAGAATAAAGGAAATTATCATCAACTAAAGAGGCTCTTGAACAATACATAAATTACTGTTGATGTTACCACAGGGAATGTGTTGAGAATTCTCTGAAAAGAATTCACACTGATGTTAAGGTGTTAAGACTAAAACAATAAAACAATACAGAGAAAATATACAAATACAGTATTCTAATATCGCTTAGACTAGAATGTATATCTGTACTGAGTTCAGTTTGCTGTTCTTTTCAATCGTAAATAATGAGTAGGAATTTTAAAAAAAAAGGATTCACAATCCCATGACCTACATGTGCACACCAAGGGTATATATAACATGGCAGAATGTGTGTCATGTTGAAACATGCTGGTACATGTACAGGTTAGAAAAAAATATAAATAAATCATTTCCCTAACGGACAATCCCTTAATCAAAAAATCGATTAGGAAAAAGACTCACCATAACTTATGTCGGAGCTTGGCAGTTGTAAAAGTATGCGAAATGGAGCAGGCTAAACGAAGAGCAACATTGGCATCAGCTTCAAATTTCGGATTCAGTGTTTCATAAAGATTAGAGTAAGTATACAAAAAAAAGATGAAATTGGCATGTGGCAAAATGCCTTGTTCGATCGAGGAAAGAAGCCCACCTTCGTGTCGAGAACATTGTCTAAAGTTCCGATCAGAAGTGAAGTCAAACCACCTCCACCGTGGCCTTTTCGTCGTTGAAGCACAAAGTAAGGGTTTGCTCTCTCAATCACCCTGAAAAGCAGAATGAAAGACGCAACAGTGAATCGAATAACAGTTTTGAAGCTAACTTTCGAGCGATCGTAAAGTTTCGTGTTTCATTACCAAAGAGCATTTGCCAAAAGAACTTCTTCGGGTTTTATCCACATTGCTGTCACGCGCTCCGATCAATTCTGAAAAGATAGATCATCATTTAGAGAGCGGATTTCTTCCCATATCTAATCGATTCAATTCCAAAACAAAGTTTAAATATAGCTGTTGTGAGCCTGCTCTGTTTGTGCAACTGCTGACGATCTGCTGACTTGAGGTCACTTGAAGTTGCGCCGCAAATGAACAGCAGTCGTTTTGAAGGGCGAAATTTATGTGGTGTAACTTTCATGTAATGCTCTGATTTACTTACTGGGTTCCACTCTTGGGGCGTTTGAAGGGCGAGTCACAGATAAAATCGTTCTTAAGACTTGCTATAAAGCCCGGATATTGTTTCGTCACAAATGGGAGGGAACACATCGTCAGAGCAAATGACATTCTTTTTGACGAAGGGCTGACGCCCGAAAAGTGTGCTTTAAAAACTCTTTTACGGTGGCCAATTTAAATTGTCAACTCAGTTCACAAAAGCAAACAAATAAAAAATTATTCCCAAATTATTTCCAGTTATTATTTTCCAGTTATTTCCAAATTTTGTTGGCTGAACCTCACTTCGACATCCTTTGCCTGGCTTTTGCAGCGGGTGGTTTGTTGGAGTGACCAACGACGAATTTTGTCGGATTTCTTTGATAATCTCGGTCCTACACCGAAAAACCTGGCTAAAAATACCACGCGCCTTTGATTCCTGAGTTGGTTTGTACACAAGAGTACATAATGGAACTATTATATTCTAATGCTTCTGCACCACTGTTGATTTGGTGCAGCGAGACACCTTAACAAAGAGGGTTCCATTAGGGAGTAACTTTGATGGGTTTCCTTCCTCGTTTTGTCCTTTAGAATTCCTTTCATTTAGAGGTTTTACGATCAGAAAATCAATTTGAATTGAAGTTTACTTTACTATTTACCTTAACTAGGGCCAGTAACATTTCCTTGTTATTTCATGCAGTAGCCATTTCAATTCGAAGGTTTCAACATACGGGCATTTGACCGTTGTCCGTGCCTGAGGGGTGGGGGATTGGAGCCTTACCTGGCTGGGTTGGGGAATTTGAACCGTAGGTGTCAAGTCTTTTCATCGAAATACAATTCTTACCTCTTTAGATATTGAGGTGTAAAGCCGGGTAAAGAGTTCACTTTCGTGAGCGAATGTCTCAGAAGAAAAGGTCTACGAGGGCTAGGTTTTAAATCTTGTTTAATTCTTAATTAAAAGTCACGTTCGCTTATTTTACCCATTACAAAAAAAATTGCCCATCAAATCCAGCACTCTGTTGGGTCATTTGAACACAATTTTCGCCCGAGGGAGGGGGTGGGGCTTATAGATACACGTATCTGACGATTATTCAGTGCATCCATTGATAAGTGTAGTCCTTTTAGAGATCCATATCGCTCTTCAAATCTCAATATCTTTGTTAGATCAGAATCCTCTATCAGGGTCATTGCCTTTTCATCGTTAGTTTCTCCGATGTGCGAATCAATAGTCAATTAGAAAGGGTCTGAGAGGTCTGCCTCTGACTGCGATCAAGAAGAAAAACGAGTGCTACCCTAACGTTGAAGTCGATACGAAATCCTACGTCATACATATTTTTTTCCTCTAAGGGGACACTTCCTCATTTGGCCTAAATACGTATGTACCGCCAGAAAGGTTATGGTTTTTGGGGTAGAAGTCGTGAATCGATTTAAATAACTTATTATAGCTGTTTTCACTCACCCCTCCCAATCGCTCCCTAGCTGTCAGCTTCAGAATCAAGAACAACTCGTCCATTTAGGACAGGAACAGTTTAGTACCTTTTCTCACTCAGGTTATTGCTTGACCACCTTTGAAGTCTATCAGTTCTCACTTTATGGTTTTAAAGTTACAGAATTCATAGCGTAAACACAATGTCTTTCATCATATCGACACAAAACGATATATACAAAAAGAAATTAAATAAACCATAGAATGATATCTAAATTAATATAATATCACCAATCGGGTTCAAGCTTACATATCAGGAGAAGTGGTACAGCAAGTCATCATGTGATAAAGGAGACTACATAAGCTTATCTGAACACTTTTGACCTAAAGTCTAACTCTACCGTAAGATATCAACTCAAAAAAGAGGAAGATGCAGACCACGCCTTAATAATCTGATGACAGCACAGGGTTTCCGAAGCCTCCCTTGTGTCTAATTCAATACATTCTGTTGGCATGCAGTTCAGTTTACCAAGCACAGTTGAAAAATTTAATTTTTCTGGAGAACCTATTGACATGAATTTCAAAAATTTCCGCCCTAATCATTCAATAGAAAAGTACATGGAATTAAAAGATAAAGTTAGTAAGTATTTTTAGATGTACATGCCAAAAAATCACATGCTTAACAAAGAATAATTAAATCCCGGTTTTTCACGTAAGAAAATTTAATCCTGAAGTATCATTTTCTTGGCGGTTTTGACAGCGCAGCTAATTTATCCTGAAATAAAAAATTGAACTATCGGATTCTGTCAATAAGGCATTTATTGATATTTAAGAGCTACTGAGTACTTGTTGCTCGTTGAAAGCATTAACGATTGACGCTCAAATTATGATGCGCCCTCTGCATTATTCTCTTCTACATTATTTACGATGTAAAATGAACAGTAGTTTTAAAGTTAAGCGAATCTGCAATAAGTAAGACTTAAAAGTGTCTTCACATTTCCTCGACCTCTTGATAAAGACCTCAATCTGGGCCACGTTTACCTTTTCCAGTATGAAAATGACTAAAATGCCACGAGGAATGGCCACCACAGAGGGCCAGAGATTTGTTCAAACCCGCATCCCACTGCTATTTTTAATTCCGCTATCCCGCTGTAATGAATATTTCTATCCCAATCCCGCTAGGAAAACTCATTCCAGTTCAACGAACAAAATTACTTGCAAACGCACGGAACCCTAGAGGCAGCTAAATGGCAGTAGCTTTTGCAAATATCTCCATGGCTAAAATCGACATGCAAATACTAGATAAAGGCGCTAACAAACCGCTCGTTTAGAGACTTCAACTCTCTCTTGCTCACCAACAGATACGTCGTCAACCGGTTCATTGACCAAGCAAATAAACACCATCCAACAATCAAATTTACGGCTGAGATATCTGTTTCAGAAGCTACTTCCTTTCCACTATTTGTAAGGGTGAAAGATTCAACATCGAGTGACTCTTAACTGGAACTAAATAATGATCCCGCCTATACCCGTCCAATCCCTTATCCCGCCTATACCCGTCCAATCCCTTATCCCGCCTATACCCATCCAATCCCTTATCCCGCCTATACCCGTCCAATCCCTTATCCCGCCTATACCCGTCCAACCCTTATCCCGCCTATACCCGTCCAATCCCTTATCCCGCCTATACCCGTCCAATCCCTTATCCCGCCTATACCCGTCCAATCCCTTATCCCGCCATCCAAATGGAGCATATCCCGGTCCCGCCTCCCTATTTTCATCTCGCATCCCGTCTTTAAAATTTATCATATCCCACATCCCACCTCGACTGTAAGCCTAATCCCGCATCCCGCCGAACCTATGCCGGACCCTCCCCATAAAGATCGAATAAAGACCCCACCTGTTTGCAATTAATCCTTAAACTCCCAAGATCTCATTAGCAATTCTCCCTACCGTCTGCCATACAATTCGTATGATGTCAATTTGGAGAATTTGTTATTGAATGAAATAATAATCCTCTAATTGATATTTTTCTTTATTCTCGTCACTTCTATGCTTGATATTGCATTGATATTTTAAGGAGAAATTCTCTCTTGGTCACTCATGGGAGATAAAGGGTTAAGGAAATAAGAGATCGACACACGCAGCGTAACTATAAACAGGATCGTTAAACAGCACATACCCGAGCGCATTAAACTACAAAATGATGAAAGCCATCTTTTTAACTCAATGAAATGCAGACTTAGAAGCTTAAATCCGAAAAGGGTTCATATGTGGCTCAGTAAATCAAAATTGCAGCCACAATCTCCAATCACATCCAAGGGGCGTGACATTTTGAGTACAGTGAAATAGTCAACATGTTCTCTTTTCAGACTGAGGACGTTAAGGCTCGTTGACATTCTTAAAAGACTTTGAATCCTAGAGAACGACTCGAAGTTTTTCGCGAATTGTTAACACTCAAAGCATCCCCTAAACACCTAGTTAAATGCACTTTTTATAGTCGTTCGATGGGCGTCAACCAACCTATTTCCTAGTATGAACATTTTTAATATTTCCAATCCGAAAAACTCATACTAACTCGTCTGTGTCAAGAAAACCGACGGAAAGATTGTTGCGTGACTATGCTATGTTATCCAAGTGAAAGCAAGTTTCGAGCGGTAATAATTATCGTAAAGATACGAAGTTTAAAAACAGTGCTTGTCTGGCTCGCGGCAGTCCCTTGTCAGGCTCTGAAAACAGGCACGTTTGTGAATTATATGTTGCCTTAAAATGTGTAAAGGTACTCAGCGTTGTCTGGCTCTTGTCCTGCTCTTGCCCTGCTCCTGTTAGCCTTGTCTGGTCTCTCATGGCCCTGAAAAAAGCGTAACATTTTCTGGCTCATTAGTTGAAAGCCAGGACTATTTTTTTGTCCGGCTCATGTTGTGTCGATGTCTGGCTCCATGAATGGTAATCTGTCCGGAACAAGGCCGTCTTCAGGCTCTGTCAGACTCCAAATTTTCGTACGGGATATGTGGTTAAAAGAAGCCGATCTCGTGTACTAAAGGCATCTGTTAAACGAGTATCGACCGACACTAACAGTCGACATAACAACTGAGTATCAGCCGATATGTAGAGCAACGCTCGGTCCACATGTTGACTGACATCAATGAATGAGTTGCTAGTAATCGGATCCTTGCGTTTGCGCACAGATTTCTGGGATTTCCACGGGGCAAACATTGCAACTCATTGCCTCTTGACCGACATGCATATCAGATGATACTCAGTTGACAAGTGGATCATACTTTACCCACACTTGGCCCTCAAATGTTTTTCTCATCTTGCCTAAATTCATGT